TTATAAAAAATTCTGTAATAATTTATTTTTACGTTATTTCTACTTCTAAGGCTCAATAGGATTTTCAATTCTCTAATTTATCTTTTTATTATTTTTTAAAATTTTTTTGAAATTTTTTTCTAATTTATTTATTTTGTCGTTTTTAAATTAATAATTTAAAATATCAATCCGGACAAAATCAATCTCAATTTAAAAACGGTTTTATCTTTGAGTCCATTTTATTACTTGACACAGTGCACTACAGTTTCCTCCCAAATTGGGTTTTCTTAGGGGTGGGAAATTTTTTCCAATGTCCTGACAGAATTGCCCATAGCTTTTTCAAAATATTCCGGTGTTGCCCTTTAACTTGTAAACGGTAAGCCCTGCTCGTTTCTCTCTCTTCGGGGTTCCGCCGCTCTTCTTCCCTCATCGGCCCGCCTTTCCTCCAGTCGTCGTCGACGCCACCTGGTCCGGCCGCCGCTCGCCTCTCTTCCTCTATCCATCTTCATTGTCTTTAGGCGAGTATCCTCGCCTAGGTCTTATCGATTCTTTTTCTTCATCCTTGTTCTTGCTCATGCATATCTCACTATCTGGTTTAGTATTTCTGGTTTTATTCCTTCTTCTTCTTGCTTCTCAGATTCCCTGTTTCTTCTTTTCTAGTTCTCCTCACAATTAGTCGAACTTAAATTTTCGACTTGACAATGTAGGAAACCAAGAAGGGTCGAAGTTTATTCATAAAAATACATTGGAAGTTGAAGCCTGACTAAACAAAACCAAAACTGAATTTATAAATGAATATAATACATGTGGGAACATCGATATGCACTTTAAAGTAGCTTTTTGGTAAGACATCTTCCTTGATTGAGTTCCATATAACATATTCATTCCATAATGAGCCAACCCCGATATCTGCGCCAGAAGGAATGCAATATAATGTATATAATGAATGTTGATTCTGCTTATTTAGCTACCTCCTTTGTTAAATATGACTTCTCTGTTCCAGGGGGACCATCCAAAGTGATTGTTTTTGCATTGGAATCTTGTGGCTTTCTATTTGGTCTACTTCGTTCCTTATCTATTTGATATTTATGCTCAATCATTTTTGAGAACGTACTGTGAAGCTGTAAGGCATGTTTGAAGGTTTAAATCAAGGATACTCTTGTATTATTAGTACTATTGAGTTTCCAATCTAATTGCTTGAGTGTGGCATGTTTGACTCTTACAATCAACTAACCATGAACAATTGCTTTTTCTCTGTGTTTACTGTTTAGGTGACTTCATGATCACATGGGACATCAATGATTGATTTGTCTTACCTGTCCTATGGTGATCTTCACTTTCATTAGACTGATTGCTTGTGACTTTTGCCTCTCAACCTTGGTGAAGTTTGATGTGCAACCTTATGTACACAGTTTATACTTTATACCCTTCATTGTTGTTTAAAGTATTAACTTATAAGGGATTGGCTTATGGCTCTGAAGTTCATATCATAGCATTCTCCTTGCAATCAAGGTTTTGAAGGGGTTGTTTCCCCATCAATTATGTAACTTCTTATGGATCTTACAAAATTTATACTTGCAGTGACCTACAATTTTGTATTTTAATGTGCAGTTGATCAATAGAGAATTTTCTTAGAGTTCATGGTCTTACGGCACTCCAATTCCAATGTTGTTTTGGTCATTATTGTCTAAAATGGAGGCCTAACTATTATTTTCCTAATGTATGGACGATCTGTATTGTGTTTGGGGTCTTGTCTCTTTTTATCCAACCTAAATTTGTAATTTTATCGTATTTTAGAAAGGTAAAAGATTTTAAAAAGCATATTAAAATTAATGAAATATTACTTTATTGATAAAATCATCATTTAAAATGCATATAAAAATAATTTATGACATATGAGTAAGGTAACGTTTTTTTTTTTGGGGACCAAAAAAGGTAACAAGCTTCTGAAATTTTGACTAATTAATAAAATTAATAAGCACATTAAAAGGCATATAAAAATATTTTGTTATATAAAAATAAAATAAGGGGCAACGTTGTCCATATAAAAATCTCTTCCCTTCCCTCCCGTCTTGAACTAAACAAGGTAACATTAAAACATCTACCCTCCCTTCCCATTCATTAAAACCCCTCCCCTTTTCTCCCCTCCATCAAAATCCCTTTCCTCCCCTGCCCTCCCCTTCGTTGAACCGAACATACTCTTAGTGATTTGAAAGACAAGAGTATTTTAGGTAATTAAGAGTTCTATACTAGCAAACATAGCTCTAAATGCAATTAAGGGGAGAATATAGACAGTAAGAAGTAATCAGTGCTATAATAATCCAAATCACTGCATCAGTAATTTAGATTCACCCCTAGCTTTAAGTATAGATTGGAGTTGTTTTATGGTTCTAGTTTGATCTTATTTCCATTCTGTACTTGTTCCAAATTGTGTTTTGCTTAACTTAAGAAAAAGTGTAAAATCAAAGCTCAACCGGGTTGTTGGTGCCAAGTCCTCATGGGAATGACACTTTATTCACTCTTTATTACTTGATATGGCTTGTGCACTTGTGAAATAGGTTTCATATTTTATGCCTATCACATGACATTAAGGTAGATAAAAATATGCCTTTATTTTAGTAATAGATAACAGATATTAACATCAAATGGTTGTTTCCTATTAAACTGTCAACTCCATGACTACTATATTTTCAAACTAAAGAATTACGGAATGGGGAATTGACTATGCTCGCTTTTGGAAAGAAGGAGAGCATCCAGGGTTTGTGGTCTGCATAAACTGCAATTTTGGGCAAAAGCATAATATTCCAGTTTTTGTTACCATAATTTTACATTGGATTAGCTATGAACTTGTTGAGTTCATAGATGGCTTGACTGTTTTGATGGATTATATTAAAAAATGACTGGAACTGCTGAATTCTGATGGTGCTTTTCATTTTGTGTGATGCTTTACCAGCTCAACCATTCTTCTTAGTAGAACTTCCAATAAATAAGCTGCCTATCAAGTCTCCAAATATCACTGCTTCCTTCAAAACAATGTAAGTTTTAGTTCTTTGAATGATCTGATTTTGTTAGCTTTGTTGTTACTGGTATTCGGCTGGTAGAAAGTTCCACATTACGATGTGTAAGAAGGTAGTATTTGATCCAATGTTCCTTGTCAAATTTTTGGTTAATCAAGTTTGATTACTTTTCCACCTTTGTTGATAAAGAGGCTCGCGTATATTGTCTTTCTGAGAATAGATGTGCCTGACTTAAGGATCTTTTTTTGTAGGGGAGCTGTTAAATTAGACCTTCGTTGTCCCCTAGGAGCGGAGGGCATTGCTGCTGAACCTGAGCCAGATTGGACTTTTGATGCTCTAATATCGGAGCTTAATGCCTTGGAGATGAAACTCACTACTTCTTGTACTGATCCTTTTCCAACTAAATCAATATACAGGTACTATATTCTTAACTTCTCTTATATGTATTTGTTTCATTGATGTTTATAAAGGTAGGAAAATTCTGCCTTTCTGTGTTTGGTTGATTGAACCTCATTAGTTGGTGCCAAAGAAAATATTTATGTTGGTGGTCTAAATTTTTCTATTGGTACTTTTTTTGGGAGTCTTTATAGTGGGAATGAAGTTGAGAGAGGTGGACCTTTCATATTGCATGCCCCTGAGTATGAGATGGAGGACACAGAGACTGAAGATGAGCAGGACGAAACTGCAGAGGCTGGCACACGATTTGGCTGCAATGAGCTCTACCTAAGGTGCCTACTCCTTGATTTCTAGCTTTCTTTGAGGACGTCACTCATCTATTTTGTTGTGCGAACCATAGACCAATAATAATAAGCAATTTCTGTGGATCTAGTCGGATTAATATTATTTTCATATCGTTCGTTGATCAAATTGCTAACATTTTATTGAAATTTCTTACAATAAAATTTGCACTTTATTTGATGTTTCAGTGATAGTGATAATTCTGACATTGTTCCAGCATTCGAAGAGCAAGGTTACTTGATGGATGAAGTGGGAGAGGTGGAAGGTGCCTTAATAGAACTGACTCATGAACACCAGCTTCGGGTTAAGGTGGGTGATCATGGTGGTATCTATACATGTTATCTGTTTAGCTTGTTAGTTACTGATTAAAAGTTTAACACTCTTGAAGACCATAAATTATATAGTCAATTTGGTTTCTTTCATATCTGTATTAGACTTATTTCTGGCATCCTCTACTTACAGGATGACATTAGGAATCAGATCTCAGCACTGGAAACAGCTCTGATGAATGAAACCGAGAAGTCTGCTTCTGCTTTTCTCCAAGTAGAGAAATATAAAGAAGCAAGACAGGAATTAGATAAAAAGTTTGATACCCAATATCAGCGAAGGATGTAAGATTGCATTGTCTCCTCCCTCCCACCTTTCTTTCAAGGGTTTATAACCACTTCCTTTCTTCTTCCTATCTGTCTTTTATCACAGTTTAATATAAGAAAATGTGAAATAGATTATTCCCTTTGCACTTGGTGCATTGATCCATTGGCAAAGTTGTCCCCTTGTATGGGGTGGTAGCCTGTAGGATCCCATAGAGTTGGTTTGACCCTCCTTTCACAATATGCTAAACTATGGATTATTTGTCTATTGCGGATTTAAAATGCACAATACCATTTGTGAAGATCTATAAAAATTCTTTTTCTTTCTGGGTTTAGAGGTAAACATGGTTTGTTCTTTTTATGGTGATGGGTCGACAACTGGGGCCATGGCCTATTAGGGTATATCATTGAAAGAACAAGAAGAGTACAAGCAGAAAGGTAGGAATAGAGAAAGCCCATGGTGAGGCATCTCTTGTTAACTGTGACCTGCTATGTGGAATGTTGTAAGATGGAAAAGAGAAAGCATCACTTAGAGGGGTTATATGGGGAGGTAGACGAGGAGGAAAAACTTATTCTGGACTTTGGAGGGATTCTAGCTTCCAAAAGCTAGGGGAAATTTTTGTTCTTCTTCTTCTTTATCATTTTCCTCTTATTGGTTTGCTGCTGCTGAAATTCCATTTAACTCTACTCAATCTATGCTTGTATGAGTGGTTTGGTTGGATATATCTGGTTCATTAATCAGAATTCAGAGGAGTTTCATCACACTGTTGTTAAAATAAATTGGAATAAAATTATGTGGTTAATTTTTTTTTCTAGGAGGAAATCAACTAGGAACACACCAAATTAAGTGTGCTAGAGTGTGTAAAGACTTTAAGAGACATAAGCTGCTCATTTTTGAATGCTGGATCTCTTCCAAGACTGAGGCCGTTGACTCATTTTTGCCCCCCTGATTTTTAACGTTTTCTGAGATTCACAGCAGTTAAGTTGGGAAGTATGATTTTATGTAATGATCCATTCTCGTGTTGGAATCAATTTTGACTATGATTGTGTTCTGATGTTATAGATATTTCTCATTTTTAGTAACTAAAATTTAGCATACATGAGAGCTTATCTGCGATTCTTTAACCATCAAAAGTGCTGTTCTATGTTTGTCTTTGTTGGAGTGTTGCTTTATAGGATGAATCGTAAGTTTGAGGAATCAAGAAACTGATCTTTGTATTCCCCATTTTGCACAGCGCAGAAGCACTTGATAATCACTTGACAGCTGTTCAGCAGGACCGGGAGCTTAGATCACAAATAGAGGAAAGAAAAATAAGAAGTGACGCCGCATATGAAGAGGCCAAAAGAAAGGAGAAGGCTATACAAGAGGAAAAATTACGACAAGAGAAGGCTAAAGCTAAAGCTGAAGCTGAGGCATATCAACTTTACTTTTCACCTGGTTTTGTTTTGACTAGGAAGTTCTGTAGACCTTCTTTCTTTAGATTCAAGTTCACGTTGATAATGTTGATGTGCTATTTATTACCTGCTTACAAATCTGTACTTTTTTCCATGAACACTTTAGTATTTTTCTTTTACTTTTCGGTTTCTATGTTTTGGATTCTGAACATGCACACAGAAACTTATTTGTTACCATTTTGTGGAGTACGCCTATCATATTACCCCCTGCTTCTTGTTAGTGATATCCACACTGATGTGTCCAGTACATGGGTATTTAAATTTGACGCATCTTTCTTCCAATATTCTCTTATATAACCTTATTTATTTGTCTATTAAATGAGTATTTAAATTTGACACATTTTTCTTTCCAGAATTCTTTCATATCAACTTCAGCTCAAATATTGCTAGAATTGTTAACTTTCAATTTTGGATTATAGGCCGCCATTAGAGCTGAGGAAGCAAAACGAGCTGCACTGGAAGCTGAGAGAAGAGCAGCAATGGAAGCTGAAAAAAGAGCTGCAAAAGAAGCCATGGAGAAGAATGCTATAGAAAGTTCAAAAAGGATTACATCTGAAGGCTTGCAACTAGAAGCTACAGCACGAATAGATGGTGCATCTAGCCTATCAAAAGCTGAATCCAAGGAATCTGGTATTTTTTTATGTTTTTAAATAAATAATAAAACCATTTAACTGATTGATTCAAATTTAATATCCATGGTTTCTTTGGCCTTTTTATTCTTTCCATGTGCTCAGAAAACGTGATTATTTTGACATTTGTTTGCTATTGAAATTTAGTTTATTCTTCCTTGCATCTTTGATATCGATTTGATGAAGCTGTTTCCATAAGCCATAAAAAGTGGTCCATTCTCACACAAGTTCAGCCTACTGAACTACAAAAATGTCCGTTCATCCTCCTTGTTCTTTATTTTCACTGACCTTTTTGTGTTTAATTGCTTTGTTTTTTGATGCTGAACTACTTTATTAGTTTGAAATTGTAAAAGTACTTGATCTGTTTGTTGTAAGTCAATATATGGATGTGCCTTTGAATGACTAGATCTGTATATTTTATTTAGTCTGAAATTGTTGGCGTCTTTTAAGATTTCAACTGGTACAAAATGTTAGGGTACACATATCGAGCAGCAGATAGTGCTTTAAAACTGGAGGGTCAGAGGCTACAGAAACTGAAAGAGCTTTATGAGAGAAACCAAGCAATACGTTCAAGTTCCAAGGTATTACTGGAAGTAGATACTGGAGATGTTAATGAAGTTTTAGTTTCTTATGCTTCATGCACTGATCATTGCTAATCCTTTATTGCTTTTGTTTAACATGTTTGTGATATTTATTGTCTTATTGTTTTTCTAAATCATAGAATGCCTGCTTCTTTTTTTTTTTTGCTCCATTATTTTGGAATTGTGAATGTTCTGTGGCACTCTTTCATGGTTGATACAATGACTTGGTTATTTATGATAATTGAAAACTAAAGGTACGTCAACTTTTGTCAGGATTTTACCCAAAAGGAAAGTCATATTGCCAGATTGATAAGGCAAATAAGGGGAATAGCAGACAATGTCAGGTAGGGAAGTTGTGTGTTTTATATAAAGAGAAGAATATCAAGTTTTAGTTTTTAAGATGTAGGAGGTGCTTTGGGCAGTGTTTCAAGAGATTACCTTGCTGCGTGACATGAAATGACTTGCATGTAAATGCTGTTGTTAACTTTCTCTTTTGATTAGAGTGACTGTTTTATCGCAGGCATAAGTTTAAGAAAATTTGACCCATAACTTCACAATAATATGCATAAAACAAAGTCAGGTCAAGTCCTTGTGCATGGTTTCATACCACGTGTCATTTTACTTTTGTGCATTTTGCAGGTCAAAAGCAGGCGATCTTATAAAACTTTTGAATGATTCTCAATGTCCTCAATCCATCAGCACAGAAATATTTGCTCGAAAGGTAGCTTAGCATTATTTTATTGACTATTCTCTTGTCGTGGACTCTGCTTCGTTTCCTCGCCATGTCATTTTCAATGCTATTATGAGTTATCTAGTAGGGCATGGACGACATCAATAATAGGAAAAAAAAAAAAACTCCCTTCGTTCCTTTTATGCGAAACAATTTCCAACTACCTCCAATGGTTTGTTCCTATTTACAACAGACATTAATTACTCATTTTAATATTAATACATTTATTATTATGTGGCTTCCAAAACATTTTCTCCACCACATATTCTCTCTCTTCCACAACCCGCTTTATTTTAATAATTCCCTTACTTTCTCCCTCACTCTCTCTCCCCCTTATAAATAAGGGTATTTTTGAGAAATTTTTTTTACAGTTTTTACATATTTATTGTTTATAATCAGTTTTAACTAAATTTTTTATCAACGTGATTCAGTTAATTGTTTCTTATAAAAAGAAACAGAGGGAGTATAAAAAGCATCTTCAATCAAGGAAAGAAGGTATACAAAATATGAATAATTATAACCTCCCTAAGTTAAGCCTCCAACTTTTAATTATATGAAAAAATTGTAAATTTTTACATATTTATTGTTTCTAATCAGTTTTAACCAAATTTTTTGTCAACGAGATTCAGTTAATTGTTTCTTATAAAAAGAAATAGAGGGAGTATAAAAAGCATATTCAATCAAGGATAGAAGGTATACAAAATATGAATAATAATAGCCTCCCTAATTTAAGCCTCCAACTTTGTAGTTTAATGAAGAACACATTAACCAAATAGCCGGGGGTCACTTTGGCAGTTCTCATTTTAGTATTAAATGAATAATGAACTTTTCTGTGATATCTTGTTTGGTCTTTGATCAAATAAGAATACAGATTTTAAAAAAGAAGATTTTGTCAGAAACCACTAATGAACATTCGAAGAAGTACGAAATTGTGTTGATTTAGTATTTTGATAAACAAATTTGAGGCAGACAAATGGGGTATTTCAGATATTTAATTGGACGTGGTAGAATTTCGTTTTTTCCCCCTATGATTCCAGGTGATGAATGGAATTACATGTAAATATCTCCATCAGCATCAAACTTTTTCTTTTTTTTGTAATTTAATAGAATATTAGAATATAATGTCATCCTCATATGACATAATAATGTATCTTGTGTGATATATTTACAGGTTGTTTCCTACTGTGAAAACCCTGGTAATGCTGCCTTTGCAAGTGGTTACGTCATTGTTCTTGTTACCTCTCGGGTACGGCGTTTTACTCTCTAGTTTTTCAGATTACTTGTGTATAAGATGGGATAGCCTTTGAATTTGATACTTTTTGGCAAATGATTAGTAATCTTTCATACTTCAGTTGGTGTTAGACAAATGATCAACTGGTTGCTCACTGTTGGACTGGAGAGTTCTATTCTCATGTTTGTTGACAATCACTTCCGAGAAAGAAATGATCTTGAACCTACTCTTTTGGATTTCATTGATTATTGTTTGTGTGGCAGGTCCCACATGCTATGGATCTTTTGCTAGCTGAGTTCCATAGAGCCTGCATCTACACTGTTCCAAAGCACATCGTTTACAAAAAGGTAACTAGTCAGAAATATTTAGGGGACATTTATCATTGCTTTCTTCTTTTTCAGCCTTGTTATTGAGACTGCTGTGGAATAAAAAGGATTATGATCTAGTTATGTTGACAGGAGTTGGTAAGAAGTGAATTTTGTGTTCCTTGACTGTCTTAAGTTCAATATGTTTCCCGCAGAAAATCTGAGCTTATTAACTCTTTTTAACCTGGAGATTTGAGCGCCCATTTATAGACATGAAAGACGTGAAACATTAGTCTTTTAACTGTAGCAATTTAATCAAGTTTTCTGTTCCAGTCATTGTATTTGCTATCAAGAATGACCAATAGTCAGAATATAAAAATTTATGCTTTGTTTGTTCTCCCTTTTTTCTTCATAAAATACATACTCGTGCAATTTCTTCTTTTTCTTAAATTTTCAGATTAAATGATATGTTATTTATTATGGTGGGATGTTAGTAATGCATTACGATGAGATGCTCATGCATATTTCCTTCATATATATCTTTTTGGATGCATGGAGAACTTTTGTGGTTACATTCAGCTTTTCCTCTCTTATGTTTCAGTCCACCTTTGAATCAAAAGAAGCATACTTTAAAAGTATCGGTTACCGGGAATATGATGGGAAAATAGAGAGTACAGAAGATTATTTAAAGCGTCTAGAATCTTACATCAAGGTGTACGGTGCACTAGTTCAGGTCTGATGCGATAGTCTTCCCGATTCTCTCAAGTATACTTTGGAGCATAATTTAGATTAGATTTAGATTAGAGGATTTTCAGTTTTGCCAGCCATTTATTGGGTACCATTGCTCATCTTATCTTTCTGATCAGCTCACAATGCTCTGTTTTGAATTCAGACTGAAATTCCAAATGTTCAGAATTTACATGGGTTGCAAGAAGGTTGGGCATGGCTTGCAAGGCTTCTGAATAACCTCCCAGCTAATAAATACACTGCTGTTTCGCTCAATGCATTCCTGCAAGTAAGTAATGCAAAATAGTGAAATACGTGTACTCTGTTTCACGGTGTGTGGTCTCCCTGGTCCGAGAAGCAAGCACTTCACTCTCTCTCACACACACATGCGCACTAGTTGGGGCCCACATCGCTTGTCTACCTGAAAAGAAGCAGAGGGACTGAACCTTGTTTAGTGTGTATTGGTAAGCTTAGCAAATTTTATGTTTTCAGATGGCAGGATTTGGCCTCTATAGAAGATACAAATCTCAATTCTTGAAGATGCTGAAGGTAATCTCTGATAACTTTTTGGTTGATCTGAAACAAAAAGAACCGGAGCTGACCAGGATTATTGTGGAGATACAATCTTATATTGAAGATAAAAAGTTCCTTAAAGAGCCAGAAGGAAGGAGCTTGCAAACTAATTTATTATCAAGTATAATGAGGGCTTAGATCCGGAAAAATCATATAGTTAGTTAAGTTTTTTTGGTCAGATCCCATAAAGCAAGCCATTGGTTGTAACTTGTAAGTGATGCTATGTTTTAACATGGGATCTGTAATAGAGAAGAAAGCCGAAGATATCATGTAGTCATAGCATTTCTAATTTAATTGTGATTATGCTAAAGCATAGATATGATGGACAATCAATCGAAGTGGAGAATGAATGATCAAATGTTAAGATATACTCAAAGAAATAGGGAATATAAAGAAATCGTTCTTCTAAGGATTGATCTTAAATAATTACAGATTTAGAAGAACTTTAATTGCACTGAAATAGCCGAGAGTCAATATCCGGTCAATGTGGCAATACTTGGGTGCAAATCATGAGTAGTGCTACTTCGGGTCCTTAATATAAGACCTTATTTGATTTTTGTTTTGGTTCTAAATATAAGATCTTAAGTTATTTTGTTTTTTATATTTATATTTTTTTTTTCAATGTAGTCTTTCTAATAAGAGTAGTTAGTTCTAATCGATAAACTTAATTAGCAAGGATATTTTAAGAAAGATAATACCTATTTATTACAAATAACTAATCTAATTTATTTTTTTAATCTCTTCAAATTAGTTAACTAGTTTTTATAATTAGTATCGGAGATAGCATGACTCTTTTCAAATTCGCCCATCGCATGGGAACTTATGTCAACTCGGGTTTACAGCGTGAGGCAATCGTTTTTTGGGCCTGAAAAAACGCAAATAATGAGTATTGCAATTGACGCGCCCACACAGATTTTATGTATTTATTGCGCAGAATCTGACCAGAGCTTTAGTGTTTGAATTTTCAATTTATGTATTTATTCTTTGAGAGATTTTATCTTAAGTGTGCGTGTTCCCTCATGTACTGTACAAAATCCCAAAAAAGTGAATTGTACAATTCATCTTATAAAAATGTGGCTAGGAATTTTTTTTTTTAATAAAAGGCTAGGAAAATTTTAATTGTATAGATTGGAAACTGTTGAGGATGTAGAGTTAAGTAAGCTCTAAAATCAGTGGCTTGATTTTCCTTGAAATCCATAACTTATAAACTTCATTTATAAGGGTCTAGACTAAATCAGACTAGATTGTGAGCCCTGTATTATATATTTGATTATGCGTAATAATATTTATCTTTTCATTTGATATCATTTAATATTTCTTAAAAAATATTTTTTAAAAATTTTATGCTCTCTTTATTCGATTTTATTCAAATTTATAAAAGTTTTAGTAATATTCCTAGTTTTCTGTTCCAATTTAATCCTTTAAAGGTATACTACTTTGGTGTATGCATTACATTCCCATTTAAAAGATTTTCTTTTCTTTTTTTTCCAATCCCATTTAAAAGAATTTTAACTTGGTAATATTCCTAGTTTTCTGTTCCAGTTTAATCCTTTAAAGGTATACTACTTTGGTGTATGCATTACAACCCCATTTAAAAGAATTTTAACAATAAATTTTTCAAAAAAAGTGCCACGGGAAAAATATAAAATAAAACAAAACGACATCGTAATAGCCGCCTGTCCAGAAATGCCGTGCATGCCCTCTCCTTGCTCCCAGGGCTCGCTATAAAGCAAGCCAGAAGGGAAACATTAGGGTTCAAAAATCTCATTAGTTTAAGAATGAGGATCGCAGTCTCAGGGAGAAGAGGGTGTTCTGAGAGCTGTTGCCCTTCCCTGATTCGCTGCGCAATCCGGTGATTTTTTATCTCCTTTCTCAAACGGCTCTCTCTCTCTCTCTCTCTCTCTCTCTCTCTCTCTCTCTTTCCCTTCTTTTCCATAATCATCATCATCATCATCCTCTTCTTCTTCCTCTTCTTCTTCAAATGTCAAATGTAAAACCCGGTGGGTCTATGGTGGCTGTGATGTTTGTAGCAGTTTTACCAGACATCGGAAGAAGGTCCCGCATCTGGGCGAGGCGACCCTGCGTTTGTATGAAATGACCGTTCTGGTCTTTTCGACATTCTATGGTTTCGCAGCCATGCGTGTTAGCTCTTTTTCCTTGTCTGAGAAAAGGCGAATCTGAGCCTTCCTCTTCAACCTCTATACTTGGCTAATTTTTCTCTTTTTTATATTCTTATTTTTGGAATAAATTTTCCTTTCTTTTCCAGGAAATGAACTGTGCCTGGGGTGCCTCATTGGAACTTGGTGATCATTGGATCGTTTCTGGCATTTAGAAACCATCATTACTCATTAGTTACATTGATTGCCAATTTTTTTATCCTTGAAAAAGGAGGAAAATCCTTCGGTGAAGGATAAGCCGGGAAAATGGAATAACTTCTAGAAGCACGTTTTTATATTTGTTATGTCCGTATTGTTGATTTTACTTACAAATGAAAGGATTCATAGACGTTTTAGTAATTCATTGCGTGTTGGTTCCGTTCTGTTTCATCTGGCATTGTTAGGGATTGTTTTGAACCCATTAGTCATTCTTGTTATCTTATGATGAAGCAACATGTTGGCTATGATTCTCCATAACCATATGTATCTAGTTCAGTAGCATTTGTTAGTGTCTACATTTAGGCACTTCGTTTTAATCGGAGCTATGAGGATGATGAAATTCTTATGCTAATGCAGCCCCAAATAAAATTTGGTGCAATGAGCAGTACTTCCACACACGAGATTTCTGACTCTCCTGTTTCTATTTCATCTTGTCTTTTCCTTGGTTTGTGATTTGTAAAGCCATTTCGGATGTTGAGAATATGTGTTAAAATTTGAGAAGGTAAAAGAGTATTGATTTGATTTTCCGTCATCAAAATGGGCAAGCTTACATTGGAGTAATTCATTGCGTGTCATTTAAGTTCTGGTTCATCTGGTCTTATGTGTTAGTGATGGTTTTGAACCCATTATTCATTTCATTCTTGTTATCTTATGATGAAGCAACACGTTGGCTACGATTCTCCACAACCATATGGATCTAGTTCAGTAGCATTTGTTTGTGTCATGATTGATGCACTTCATTTTTTATCTGGGTTATGAGGATGATGAAATTCTGATACTGTTGCAGCCCCAAGTAAAAGTTGGTGCAATGAGCAGCACTTCCACACACGAGATTTCTGACTCTCCTCTTTTTAATTCATTTTGTCTTTTACATTGGTTTGTGATTTATAGAGCCTTTTCAGATGTTGAGAATATGTATTACAATTTGATAGCGTGAAAGAAAGAATTGAATCTTATCATTGTTTCGCTAACATGAAGGCTTTATTGTTCGAAGATTTATATTTGATTTTCCTCTACCCAAACGGGGAAGCTTTAATATCTGAAATTTTTGAGTTGTTGAAGATGTGCTTGCAAACTTTCTTACAGCTTGATGGGTCATTTTTGAATGGTCTTAATTGGGTGGATATTGAGGAAGACAAACTTTTGCATCTTTGATGAAGGAAGCAGGACAATCTACTTCTACTTGATTCAATAATAATTATAATTTTATGGTAAATTGGAATTATATTTTGAATTTATAACTTCAACAGGAAAATTTTATTTATTGAAAAGGTGTATTTCATCCTAGTAAAGTTATTGAACAATTTTAAGTTGCATAAGAAATTACTAAATTGAACAATTATAAATTGCATATAATCTACTTCTGCTTGATTCAATAACAATTTATTTTTTTTTCCAAACTTTTAATAACCTCTCTATTCAGCAATATTGTAGTGTTAGAAAAGAAAAATGAAATGTAAAAGCCATTAACAATCGACCAATTAGTACCCAACGTCTAATTGGGGGAAAAAGTAGAAAAAAATAAAGAAGTTAATGACTTAAATCTATAGTTTGAAAGATGTTTACTGTGCCTTTGAGCAAAGAAAAATAAATAAATAATACTTTATTATTAAATTATCATGTGAGTAAAATTTTAAATAAAAAAAAAATCTCGTACCATACGCAGGGATGGGAGAAAAAAGGGGAGTATTGTTTTCTGTTTCTCCCCTTATTCTAATCAGTTGATTTAGAAGTGTCTGTGAATTTCATACAAACGAGAACAAATTTTTTGTCATGTATTTATTTAGAAAAAAATCCCAAGGAATAAAGTATGATATCATTATCAGAGATGCCTGCCATGTTTTGTGTCCTGAGAATTTTTTATTGGAAATTAAATGACCAAGTCCAAAGGAATAAAGTATGATATCTTTAAAAAATACTTCTAAAATTTCAGAATTTCAAATTAAAAATGACTATAAGAATGTATTGTTATTAAAGTGTAAAAAATAAGACTAATTTAGAATTTTAAAATTCAAAGATATTTTAATGAAATTCTCTTTTTTATTTTGAAAAATTATAAATAAAAAATTGCACCATTTTATTATTATAAAATATTAAAATATCATTTGTGTTAGGTAATATCTAACCATCAAAGAAAATAAGAAAAACATTTAAAAAGTCGAGCCGTTTCCAAAGGGTATTAGATGGAGGCACATCAAGGGTTGAAAACCCATTGAGCACCACAAGTTATTTCAATATACTACTATGTTTTAAATTTGGGAGGGGGCATGAGTCTGCTAGTATAAAATTATTGACACATACTTAGCATTACTTATTCTATTTCAAACTGATTTATTCCCTTAATTTTTATATGAAAAACATCTCTTACATGGGGAGAGTATCATATTAGTCAATATTAAGTGAGTTTCAAATTCTATGATATTTTTGTGTATTTTTGTTCATTTGAATTTTTCAATATTCCAAAATGTTTTGAGCATTCTCCCTTATTTACACACACGCGCGCGCATTGATTGCTTTTAAAAGTTTAAATAATCAATGGTGGAATTTTCTAAAAGTGATTTATTTAAGAAAATAAATGATTTTTTTTTTTACAAAAAAAAAAGCTTGACAAGCATGTCCCCATGTTGTAGAATCATATAGGAATATTTTAACCATATTAGAAGACAGATGAATGTATTTTACGCTAATAATAACAGTTAAAGTTAATATTATTATTTATTTAAAAAATAATTATCAATAGTAAATCGCAACAATCTTTATTATATAACCTATAATATATGTTGATATTGAGATGTTATTTAAAAGAAAAAGAAAGCAATCATCAATTAATCAATTATATACATATAAACAACATAAAAAGAATTTAATGAAATCAGAGCATACAATTGATTTACAAACTTCGCATAATATCCCAGATTTGTATCTTCTTAATGACTGATTATAGTGATTATTTATCATTAAAATATATTTTAGCAGTATTTTAATATTGACAGGGCATCAACTATTCATTCTATTTTTGTGCTTGGGTTTTTTTTGGGTAACATATTTGGGTCATTTCTTGGACTGAGAATTTGGGCCCTTTGGGTGTTTCTGCAAAAAGAATTGGGCCTGTCTTTTAATGGGCCGCATGAAAACCCTAGCCTGCATGAAGAACCCCGGCTCGATTTTGTACTTTTATATACCTCTCCTCGTTTCCCTTGCGCCTTCTGACCTGGCGCCGTTTGAGTTCTGTGGCCTCCATCTCCTTCAGGTAACTGCTACGACCTCCTGGTTTTCCGTTTCGGCTTCTTCACAAGTGATGTTGATGCGTACTGATAATAATGCAACTGGTTACTCTATCATACTCTCTGCTGTTTTCTTGTTCTTCTTTTACCATTTCGGTTTTTCGAATCATTGGCACTGGAAATTTCACTGGTAGTGACGTTAATGGATGCTGTGTCTTACTTTCAGCTGTTTTTCTTTTCTCCTTTTATCATTTTGTTCTTCAAATTATTGGGAAGTGGAAATTCAGTGGGTTGACTGGACCGAAGCTTAGGACAGTTGGGATGAAATTACCGGTTGATTTTTCTTCTCTCTTAATTGATGGGTGTGAGGTGCTCTGAAGAGTGAGTTAGAATGAGTTTTCGGTTTTACTCTTGTTAGTTGGTATCGAGTAGTGATCTTTTAGAGCTTTAGAGGTCAGTGATCCTTAGCAAGTGGTTCTTCAATTGGCTTGGTTGGATGCCTTTTAATTGTTATTCGCCATTGAGTTAAAAGCAAAAGGAGTAAAATGGGATCCTTTACTGAAATTATTGTTGTGCATCTTTCAGAGATCACAAATTTGTTAATTTTTCAATTTAATACGGGGTTTCACATGCTGGATATTGCCTTTGGATTCACTGTGCTTTGTCACGTTTTTTCTCTTTCTGAAACGTTCAAATTGTATACGATTATTCCTGTGATAGTTTGAAATATAACTGTAGTTGTGTCTTCCTTCTTGCAGCAACAAGCAAGCTTCTCATCTTCAAAGCCTTGAGAAAATGTCAGGGTATGCCTATTGTTTCTAACTTTCTCCTTTAACAACTATTAATATTATCTTTTGCTGGGATATTCTCTTCAGAGTTTCTTTATTTCCAAGTTTGATGAGACAATAATGGATTCTGCTGAGATGCCTTTTTTTTTCCCTGTTAATAACTGAGAAAAAACCTGACAATTTACAGAGAAGAAGATGTAGCAGTGCCTGCTGAGGCAGCACCCTTGGGTGAGAGTATGGACATCATGACTGCCTTGCAGCTTGTGTTGAGGAAGTCTCTTGCTCATGGGGGTCTTGCACGAGGGCTTCATGAAGCTGCCAAGGTGATCGAAAAGCATGCTGCACATCTCTGCGTCCTTGCGGAGGACTGTGATCAGCCTGATTATGTTAAGCTGGTCAAGGCACTTTGTGTTGATCATAATGTGAAATTGATGACTGTTGCCAGTTCTAAAACCCTTGGCGAATGGGCTGGTGTAAGTAAAACTAGTGGTGGCATACCTCTTTTTCTTTCCATTTATGTTGCCTGGCTCTCATGTTTATTTTTTTAAAAATATTTTATTATTCCATTTCGGAACTCTGTTGTTATGTGGTAATTAATCGCTGTATAACTGAGTTAATTAGCTTAGAGATCGTCATTATGCATCAATATAGTATACAATCTATTCAGTTGTTTTTCATAGCAACAATATATATTTAAATATTGAGGAGTCTAAGTTTCAAAATAATTCTCTCCATGTTTCTGCCTGAAATCCAGTTTGTTTACTGTTCCTTTCTAATGTACCAATCTCTCTGTCTAGTTTCTTTTTTGATAGTGGATCTATTTGCTTCATCAAAAACTAACAAGATACGTGAGAGATTTTAATTATTTTATTTTATTTTCATCATACGCAGCTGTGCAAGATTGATTCCGAGGGCAAAGCAAGGAAAGTAGTTGGCTGCTCCTGTGTTGTTGTGAAGGTATAAGCTCTTCATGGGAATGAATATCATTCTATTTCTACCATAGCATCTTGTGTAAAAGATTAGAAATGAAGTTATGAATAGCTGCCATAATGTTTACATTCTTCATTTTTGCTTTTCATACTTGTATTATGGTTCTTGGGCTCTTAGTTGACGTAAAACCGCTGGATTCTGCAGGATTTTGGAGAGGAGTCACCGGCATTAGATATTGTTCAGCAATACATAAAGGCTCAATAAGTTGGGGCGATAACGAAATATGGAGAGCATGAAATGAAATGTCTTTGCGTAGAAACATAGGCAGTATCTTATATTTTTCTTGGCCTTTTGTTGTGTGGAACATTAAGATAAGATCTCTGTTTTTGATTAATTCCTGAGTTGTTGATTTGCATGCTTAACTTGTGGAAATTAATGAGTTTTACTTCCTAGAGTTCGCAACCCTTTTAATATATTTTTCATCCATACCTCGATTGCAAATTTTTTGGCTTGTGTGGATATGTCAGATGTATAAAAATGCTGGGTGGTTGATTAAGTTCTAGTCTGGCCTTTTAACCGACACATGACTCAGGCAACCTTGTTTTGGTCCTAAAATTATCCCTGCTCAAATAATGGCACGGAAGGCCCAAAATCTTTTGAAACTTGACTTCAGGTCTGAGGTCCTCATCTGAAATGAAGTTGTGGTTTATTTATTTTCGCCTTTAGTGCAGTTTTTTGTTTGGTTTAAATGCAACAACTGCGAACAGCTAAAGGGCTGGAGCTGATAAAATGGGCCGGCCCATCCATGTGGACTTAGAGCTACATTCTTTCTCAAGTGTAACCCTGATCAGGCTGGGCCTGAAAGCCTGAGAGCCTTTTTTGTATTTATATATATAAAAAATTATATTCCCTTCAATGAGAACACGTGGAATAATAGACTGACATGATGTTAGAAATTTTATCATCGGCCTCCAAAAACAAGATAGTGGTCTACAAAGGAGCTTAACTAACGATAACAGACAGCCACCTGAATCCTAACGATATGTGGTCATTAATTACTTCTTTATTTTTGTGTACCTTATCAATTTTCTGCCTGCATTTCAATTTCCCAACAACTCTTGCTAATAATACTCACTCTCAACCCCACCCACCCCCTTCCTTTTGTTTTTCTCAAATTAAGGTGCCTTCAAACCCAATTCACTTAATTCCGTCTTGTGGCCTTCAATTAAATCATCCTCTATAATACAATATCCTTTCTTTTCTTTTTTCCTGGTTGTGATGAAGTGGTACCAAGTGAAAATACAGACCCCTCAACTAATTTTTTTTTTTTCCTTACAACTAAAAAAAATCACAGGGAAATTCCTCACATAAGGTTGTTCAGAGCATAGGCTCAATTTGGGGCCAAAAGGCAAGCCAATCAGTTTAACCAAAGCAGAAGCTTTATAGATTTTATCATGAGGTCGGTTTGGTTTGATTTGAATCTTGTTTAAATGATTTTTTCCTTTTCATAATATTTTAAAAATTTATTGCTAAATCAAGAAAAAAGATTGATATTCAATTTAATAATGTATTGTCATGAACTTGAAATTTAAAAGCGAGTTACCGTTAATTAAGTAAAGCTGCTTGAGTTAGTGAGTTGATTAATTGTTTTAATATTCTAATGATATGGATAAAGTTACTATCAAGTATCAACAATATGCATTTTTGGATTAAAATATTCAATAATACGACTGAAATAATTGAGAAATAAATATCATATATCATAAAATAGAATTAAAGGTAAATAAAAAATAAATAAATATACCATAAAATACATTTTAAAAAATTCAAACAGGTCTGGTTCGATTTGATTCAGATCTTATACATGTAAAAGATCGGAATCACTAAAGAAAAGAAAACAAACTTGACCTCATTTATTCTAGGGTTAAGATGCACCCAGCACCCCCATGTATTTAGCCAGGTGCACCCAGTGGCTTGAAGTAATTTGTGGTGCAAATTTGCTCTCAAAGTAATTAAATTGGTGCACCGGTATCCCATGCTAACATATCTGTTAGTTTGACCGTTAAATTGATGAGTCAGCACAAATTTGACCAGAAAATCTGACGTGGCATGTCTAATAAGCAGGTGATGTGGAATTTTTTCGGGATTAAGGTGCATCCAGCACCTCCAAGTATTTTTCCAGGTGCACCCAGTGGCCTAAAGTAATTTATGGTGCAATTTTGCCCTCAAAGTAATTAAAATGGTGCACCGATATCCCATGCTAACAGATCTGTTACTTTGACTGTGAAATTGATAAGTCAGCACAAGTTTGACTAAAATAATCTGACCTAGCATGTCTAATAAGCAGGTGACATGGCTTTTCTTGTTAATTCCATTGTTTTGTCTGAATATTACTCCTCTGGTCTTATTTATAAGGTACTTCCAGCATGTTTCACACAGACCAAAGAAAACCCTAAATTTCATTAACTCTCATTTAAATTTTAATAACTTTCCAACTTTATCCCTATTTAATATACATTATACCTCATATAAACAAAGTCAATACAATAATAAATGAGGGTTAAATTTGTATATCCATACAAAAAATTTCTCTCAGTGCCTTATAAATAGGACCAAAAAATATGTTTTCTCTCTACCCTATAAATAGGACTAGAGGAGTATCTCTAAAAAAAATTCTTACGCTGAAAAAAATTCCAAGAGCCGAAGAGAGCATTTACTGAACAGAGAAAACAAAGCAGTGGCAGACGAAAAAAATTCCACATCACCTGCTTATTAGACATGCCAGGTCAAATTATTTTGGTCAAACTTGTGCTGACTCATCAATTTCACAGTCAAAGTAAGAGATATGTTAGCATAGGATACCGGTGCACCATTTTAATTACTTTGAGGGCAAAATTGGACCATAAATTATTTTAGGCCACTGGGTGCACCTGGAAAAATACTTGGGGGTACTGGATGCACCTTAACCCCCAAAAAAATTCCACATCACCTGCTTATTAGACATGCCACGTCAAATTTTCTGGTCAAACTTGTGTTGACTCATCAATTTAACGGTCAAACTAACAGATCTGTTAGCATGGGATACCAGTGCACCAATTTAATTACTTTGAGGGCAAATTTGCACCACAAATTACTTCAGGTCACTGGGTGCACCTGACTAAATACATGGGGGTGCTGGGTGTACCTTAACCCTTTATTTTAACCGGTTTTGATTGGTTTTGGTCATTTTCATCATTAAACTTGTGTTTTAAAAGCCCAAGATAACATTTTGAATATGTTTTAACACCAATTTCATTCCAGCTATTAGCATTTATCCTTTCATGTTTTAACATCAAAATAGAAGTCAAACAAGGTCTTATATTAAGAACAGGGAAGTAGTATAAAATTATGAAGTTGCTTTCAAAAGCTATAGATGAGGAGGGATGGGAATAAAGAGAGGAGTTGATTTGTAGGTGAGAATGATGAAGGCATGGGAATGGGGTTCAGAGCAGATATAACCTGTAAGAAAGTGGTCCCATGCAGAAATGAGAATGTGTATATCCACTTTGTTCTCTCAAATTTCAAAGCCACCATCCTATTTCATCTTAGGCAAATGGTTACATTATATTGAGAGAGAGAATGATATCCACATGCATATAGACAGACACTTTTTCTCTGGCAAGGTACTGAAAACACAAATGATGTTTTTTAAAAACCTAAAATGGCGACATTTTAAGCTTAATAAAAAAAAGAAAAATATAAAATTCAATTTGATTAATCCATTCAAAACTCTTAAACAGAGTAATTAAGAAACTAATTCATTACTTCAGTAGTGTGATCCATCAATTCATGTTGAATTTTAGTACTGTGCTATCTTATTGGATTTTAATATTAATATTACTTTCAGTTATAAATATAAGAGCTATTTTGTAGTATACATAATAAATTAGTTATTATATTTAGGACGGTAGGTGATACTGTGTTATCTTGTCCATGATATAGGATATTTTCTACAAGCTCTTGTTGGTCCAAAACTGTAAGACATTTTGTGACTTTAAGAAATATCCTTCTGCTTTTACCTGCATGGGCTAATGTCAGTTGGTAATTATGCATGCGAAATTGTATGTCAGGTGTTGATAAGGGTAAAACTGGAAAAGCAAATCAACTTTTCATGACATTTGAAAAAAATATATATTTTTTGAAACTTTCTAATATTGTGAATGGAGATACTACACACACACGATAACGTTTTGCCAGTTTGCGTATACCAAGTAGGGGATATTTTTGAAATTAAAGTGTGGAAGGATAAAGCATAATTGGTGGTATCTTCATATTCCCCAACATAAGAACACCACGTTTCTATGTTGCCCTTTGGGACCCAATTTCAAGTGAAATTGACATACCAATTTCTCGATATTATCATCAAAGTTAGATAAGACCTATTTTATTAATTTGATTAGATTAAGAAAATTAGGTAAGTTAGTTAATTATAAGAAAAATAACACATTTTTCCTAAAACACCATAATTATCTTTCTTAATGCCCCTTCTTCATCTTCTATTTGATTAGGATTGAAGAAGTATCTATAGGGGTAATCTAGAGAAAATTGATAAATATGATAAATGAGTCTTATATTTAGGATCAAAACCAACTCAAGAATTGAGTCCTATATTAAATATTGGAAGAGTATCAAATATTACCTCCCGTCCCAAATCTTAAAATTTAGTTTGCAGTATAATTTACAGTATAAATTAAATTTTATATTCAGAACCGAAGTGGTATTAAATTAGAGGTCTCTCCCTAACCCTCTAGCTAATTCCCACTCTAGTTTTTACATTTAACCTCAAACAAGCCTACTTTAATTTGACATTATTAATATTAGTTCTCATCAAATTGTGTGTGTGGTGATATTTCATTGAGAGAATCTCACCAAAAAAAAAAAAGCTTGAAATTAAAACAAATCTTAAAAATATCAATTCAAGGGATTTACGCATGTTCTGGTTAAGATAAAATTTATGATTAATTAGTCATTATGGTGATAAGATGGTTAGTTTTGTGAGGCAACAGAATTTTGGGAGGGAAACGTCACAGCATGGCGCAGTCGTGTAGGGGTCCATCGTCCACACAGGTGTCAAGCTCTGAGCCACCTAATCAACCTCACGTATTTCACCCTTCTCATCAATGCGTGGTTCATCTTCCCTCCCTATAAATACCCAAATGCTTCTGTTCTTCCTCACTCACTCCCTCACGAAACACCACTCCTCTAGACCTTCTTCACCTTCCTCCCTCTCATCGATCCTTCTGTACCAACGAGACTTCCTTCGATTTCTCTCTACAATGGCTGGAACTGGAGTGTTCGCTGAGATTTTAGATGGAGATATGTACAAGTACTACTCTGATGGCCAATGGAAGAAGTCCTCTTCTTCTAAAAGTGTTTCCATCATCAATCCCACTACCAGAAAGACTCAGTACAAAGTTCAGGGTAATTTATTTGCGTTGAGGATGTTAGCTTCTTTCTTTGCTTAATTTCTAGCTCAGTCTTGCATTTCAAGTCTCGAATTCAGCTCAATTTTTTTTTCTTTTTCTTAATCTTGGAATGTCAGTGCATGTTTGCGTAGTCTGCCACTTGCGCAAGTAAATTAGTGCCACTGTGTGCGTGAAAGCTTGCATGCTTGCAGATCCTCCCGTTTTTGTTTCCCAAATGGTTTGATGAAATGACTCTGTGATCTGAAAGATACCAGCTAGCAAAAACTATAGTTGTAATTATGATAAATCTCTCTTCTAGTTTTCTGTAAATGATCTCGAGTGAAAGCAGAAGCTCCTAATTTTGTATTATAAGTAACAGCAGCAGAGCAGAGATGCCTTGTAAGTGCCAAAGAGTCATTTCAACTTAACCAGTCTAAGCTGTTAACTGAATTGCTAAATATATTTACTACAAGTTTTATCATGTTCGGTACAGAAATTCCTTTATGCCTTCGAAATCTTGTGCTGGAAGTTTATGTTGATTAAGAGATGAGAGGCAACATAAATCAGATGTGACTCTTCGTCATGAAGGTTTTTCACAGCATGTGATTGTGAAGAACTACCAAAATTCAAAAGTGAAAGCTGTTTTAGATGAGATTCATTACTAGTTATACTATGACCCGTGGTGATAAAATTTTCTTTTTTCCCCACTATGATATGAATCTAGCCTGCACACAAGAAGAGGTCAATAAAGTCATGGACTTGGCAAAATCTGCTCAGAAGTCATGGGCGAAGACCCCGCTGTGGAAACGAGCTGAACTCCTCCACAAGGCAGCTGCTATCCTCAAGGAGCACAGGGCTTCAATAGCAGAGTGCCTGGTGAAAGAAATAGCAAAGCCAGCCAAAGATGCGGTTACTGAGGTACGCATTCTGCAATCGGAAAGTCTATTATTGCTTAGGACTAAGAAATTAAACATAATGGTAACTAATGTATAATTTGTCCATGAAGGTGGTAAGATCAGGGGATCTGGTCTCATACTGTGCTGAAGAAGGTGTAAGGATTCTGGGAGAAGGAAAGTTCTTGGTATCAGATAGTTTTCCTGGAAATGAAAGGACAAAATACTGTCTGACATCCAAGGTAAAGTTTTAACACGTATTCTTTATTTTATATGTATACTTCACAACCTTGTGGCACCGGCTTAGTACCACATCACTAAAAATCCTCTTGTGGAATAGAAGATCAGGTTTGATCAAACCATTTGATGGAATTATTTATACAAAAGAGCTGAATGGTAAACCGCAAGGCCCAAGGAGCTTCGCCTTTTATAATGTCAAAAACCCCGATCTTTGACATTTATGCTTTTCTCTGTTGGCTATATCAGAATTTTTCTTATCAAAAATTTTTAGATCCAAGAAAAAAAGGAGCGCATTACATCCTATTTCATAATGTTTTGAGAAGCGTATAGAGTTCCTGGTTAGGACAGAATGTTCTGATTTCATAAAAGGGTCCTTGGACAAAGATAGTATGCCGTCAAGGGTGACTCTATGCAGAGCTGACCTCTAATGGCCCAAACTCTCGGCCTCTAAAAATTCTGAACCCATCATGAATTTAACATGACATCATAATGGATGGCTTCACAGTCAGTCACATAATCGAACTCCTAGAATACTATTAATGCTATAACCTTTGTACCACATTTCATTACTTCATAATATTGTAAAGAAGACACATTGCTACATTTGGTTGCCATTTGCTATTTTCCTTCTTTAGCTCAGTGTATCATATGGTCTAAGAAAGTTCCATTTGATTTTCAGATTCCATTGGGAGTGGTTTTAGCCATTCCACCATTTAACTACCCTGTCAACCTTGCTGTGTCAAAAATTGCTCCTGCGCTGATTGCTGGAAACTCCATTGTGCTGAAGCCTCCAACTCAGGTATATATAACTCAGGTTCTTCATTCTGAAACTCCTTAAAGCAGCAACAAATGCATATTTATCTACTGTCAAATACGGTGTGCATAGCAGTTGGAGGCACAACTTGAACCATTTGTTTAGCAAACTACAATAGCCAAGCTTATCAAAAGTATTTGTAATTTCATATCCGAATCATCACCACTGTATGAATACAAATGGTTCCCGCCAGAGAAGTTAGAAAGGCTTCGGCTCAAATTGCATTGATGCATTTTCATCCCCTCATTTCTGCCTCTTTCTTCTGAAATTCAATATCTAATGATCCTGTGTTTTGTTATTCAGGGAGCTGTTTCTGCACTACATATGGTGCATTGCTTTCACTTGGCTGGTTTCCCCAAAGGCCTAATCAGTTGTGTTACTGGCAAAGGATCTGAGATTGGTGACTTCCTTACTATGCATCCAGGAGTTAACTGTATAAGGTGACAACTTGTTCCTCCTTGTATGCTACCATTATGATACTTCAGTCATTTATTTCTTGTATGTAATTAATGTAGCTAATGCTGGCTTTTAATTCATATGTTGTCAGCTTCACTGGAGGAGATACTGGGATTTCAATTTCAAAGAAAGCAGGCATGATTCCTCTGCAAATGGAGTTGGGAGGAAAAGATGCCTGCATTGTGCTTGAAGATGCCGATCTGGATTTGGTGGCTGCAAATATTATAAAGGGAGGCTTTTCTTACAGGTAAATGGCACGTCTAAAGTAGCACTTAAAACAAGCAAGATAGTTTTCGATATCTAGTACAACCCTTCTTTCAGTGTACTTCCCCATCCTCATGGGAAAAACTATACAAGGATTGGCTTATAATGAATTGCTAAAAATTTCACAGTATTGCATAACTTGAGACAAACATTGTGTTGTTAGGTTTATGAATAACAGGACCTAGGTACATCTTCCAGTCCAGAAGCATATGTTTTTCTTGTGATAACATGCTCGTTTTAACCTAGACGTACTCAATTTCTTCGGGGGAAAAAAGAACATTCTAGAGATACTTCATTTTGTAAAGGCCACTAAACTGTTTCTTTCATTTTACTCGTAAAAGTGGTCAGAGGTGCACTGCTGTTAAGGTTGTCCTAGTGATGGAATCCATTGCCGATGCTCTGGTAGAGAAAGTGAAGGCAAGAGTCGCAAAACTGACCGTTGGGCCACCTGAGAATGACTGTGACATCACTCCAGTTGTGTCAGAATCGTCAGCCAATTTCATTGAAGGTCTAGTTATGGATGCTCAGCAGAAAGGAGCAACCTTTTGCCAGGAATACAGAAGAGAAGGGAACCTGATTTGGCCTTTGTTGCTGGACAATGTGAGGCAGGATATGAGAATAGCTTGGGAGGAGCCATTTGGACCAGTGTTGCCAGTTATTAGGATCAATTCTGTTGAAGAAGGAATTCACCATTGCAATGCTAGCAATTTTGGACTTCAGGTATAATATACTTGAGCATTTTATCTGTAACTTTTCAAACAGGTCAATGGTTTATAATATATTTGTCTTGTTGGGGGTGAACGTAATTTGCATCGAATTGTTACACTTGTGCAGGGTTGTGTGTTCACAAAGGATGTGAACAAAGCAATTTTGATCAGTGATGCAATGGAGACGGGAACAGTTCAGATAAACTCTGCCCCAGCTCGTGGACCTGATCATTTTCCCTTCCAGGTGAACCCAATTATTTCCCCAACATTATTGGATAAATTACATCTCGGTTTGCTTTCCTATTGTTTGGAGCATGTCATTCAATACCATTTGCACTTGATTACAACACAAATAGTCATAGAACTCAAAAACCAAAGAAAAATACTATCACACTTCACTTGTATCTTAGAGTTTGCGTCACTTAGAGAACTAAATTGAAAATTGAAATTGCTTGCTTAACCCTAACAAGTGTCTCAATGAAAATACTCAAATTCCTGTGTTGATTTTACAACATTTTACTTTATTTTTCCCTTAAAATCTAGATAGATTTACACCCAAGTTTAGTCTTATATGGAGATAAACTGAACAGCTCATTTAAACCATATAGAGGCAAACTGATTCTGAACCAAACCAAAGTGAAATATAACAAATGCTTTACATTTACATGACAGGGTATCAAGGACAGTGGAATTGGATCCCAAGGCATTACCAACAGCATAAACATGATGACCAAAGTAAAGACAACAGTAATCAATTTGCCCACCCCTTCTTATTCCATGGGTTGAGATACTAAATAATATGGAAATTTTATGTCCATATATATAAATATATATATATATATATGTATATGTATATGTAGTCTCAAGTCTTACTGGGTCACTATAAATTGCAGAAGAGTTTGGTCCCTAACCTTCTTTTGCATAAGAGAAAGATGAATAATGACTGTAATATATCGGTGACCTACTAGCTAGCTGCTTCAGTGGTCTACTTATATTGTACTGAGATTTAACAAGACTTGATATTGCAGTTTTTCTTGGACCGTCATCACGAAATATGAGTTTTGTTTCTTTCAAGTTACGTTTTATGTCAATTCGTTGATGGACAAGAAATTGAATAGAATGCTCATCTGAAAACATGAGCTTCATGTTAATCATTAATATAAACCATTTAACAATAATAATAACGATGAGTGTTTTATTTTCTTATGAAAATCAAACGTGAAAAACCACCTAATGCAATGGTGAAATGTTGCTTATTTACGCTCACACATACACTTCTCACTAATTTCTTGTTACTATATATGAGGGTTGAACTTCACTGAGAGTGGGACCTAGCCATGCTGAATGCACACTTCCACATATCTTTAAACTACTTTTTCCAGCAAGATTTGGTCTAATTGGTAAGGAGTTAACTCATAATTCATAATGTTATAGATTCAAATTCCGCTGTCGATATAAAGATCTTGTTGATAGATGATCTATAAGCACCTTTTGTAATTGCTCGCCTCAAAGCTTAGAGACATTCTAACCCTAATAAGCATTCAGGACATCAACTTAGCTAAACTTTTTATTTATTGAAAAAATAAAATACTTTTCAATTATCAACTTAAAAATAACCATGATGTTAATGAAAATACGAAAAATAAAAATTAAAAGCATTTTAAACAAATCCCTATAATTTATACATGCACACTCTTAGACGAACACTAACTTTGCCTACAAAAAATTAGAGTGGAGTTTGTATATTTTCATGAATCCAAAATAAACTACACTATTATCAATAAATTGTTAATAATTTGCCTTCCTATAATTTTTATAAATATTTTTAAAATTTAAATGTCTCGTACGACATATGAATATTTTAAAATTAAAATCATTTTGTCACGTCTCATCAATAATCCATTATACTTTTACAATTCTTTTATGGTTTTGACCTTGTACGTTTGATCATAAATATAATAGGGTGCACATGTTATTCTATCCAAAATTGTACTTGTCAAAATAGAAATTTGATAATAATAAATGTTTAAATCTGCGTGGAATTACAACAATAGACGTTTTGGGGCTTGAATGTGCAGCTACAGTGTTGTCCCACATGAAATTCTCCTTCAATTATTTAAAAATGAGGAATCAAACTATAAATAGTAAGAAAAATTGAATAATAAAAATAATAGAAAAAGTTATCCTAGAGTTGACTATATTAATACAAGATCTTAGGTGATTATTATTCTTCTCTCTCTTCAGCTGCTGGTAATGTAGTAATTAATATTAAAAGCAATATTAATAATAACACCGCCTATCAAAATCAGCCCTTCTCTAATGCAAGTATGAGTTGTGCCTTTCACGTATAATATAAGATCTCATTTGACTTTTGTATTAGTCTTAAATATAAGATCTCAATCTATTTTGTCTCTCATATTTATTTATTTATTTTCAAGATAGTCCTTCTAATAATAATAGTTCTAATCAACAAACTTGACTAGTAAAAATATTTTAAGAAAGACAACATCTATTTATTACAAATAACTAACTTAACTTATTTACTTAATCTACTTAAATTAGTCAACTAGCTCTTATATTTAGGACCAGAGGTAGTACTTTATTAATAAGTTTCCTCCGATGAATTGGTATAATATTGTCCCTTGGGTCCTAAAATGTAATAGCTTATAACTGATTTACAGATATGTATTAATTTCTCTAAAATACATCTTTTAATTATTTATATTGAAAACTATTCACCTGATAAAAAAGATCTTGCTTACTATATATAAGAGAATTTAGATCACACGTTTTCGTACATAGTGAAGGTAAAAATGAACCAAAAAGACAAGGCCAATGCATATCTATGAATGCTAATCATGTCGTATTGTGCATTATAGGTTATTTTCAAGGAAAATTGTAATAAAGACTTCCTAATATGTAAAATTGTGATTTGTGACCCTCAATTTAAAAAATAGCAAATAAAGACCCTATCCCACATTGCAAATATGAAATCTTAGTGAAACGTTTGAAATAACCTTCAACCAAATTGTGATTTGGTCTACTGAAATTGTCATTCGTTAAAGTAAACTTGTTATTTCCTATAATCAACTTGTCATTTGGATACCCTCAACCAAGTTGTGATTTGGTCTATTGAAGTTGTCATTTGCTAAAGTGAACTTGTCATTTTCCACAATCAACTTGTCATTTGGCTAGGGGCATTTCAGACATTTCACCCAAATTTCATATTTGCAATATGAGACCATGTCTTTATTTGCTATTTTTCAAATTGAAGATCCCAAATTACAATTTCACATATTGGGGGGTCTTTATTTGTCATTTTTCCTATTTTCAATCTATAGCATATTTTTATGAACTACAATATCAAAGACGGGGTAGGGGGATTACGAATTGTAATTTAAATTTTTAAATAATTTTAAAAACTAAAATTTTTAAATTGATGTTAAAAAAAAAATGATTCCTACATATTGCCATATGTAGAAGGAAAATTTGGTAAAAAAATCCCTCTTTGAAAAGAATTGGCTAAAAAGACTAAATTTGAGTGAGTGCAGCTATAATAAGTGAGTGTAACTTTTCTTCTGTTATGTGCAACACATCTTGTGCTATATATAAATGACTTTTGTATTGATGATTGTTGTACATCATTGATGATATATTACTCAAAACAAAAGAAAATTACACTCATGAATCATAGCAGAAGAAAAGTTACACTCACTCACATGTCATAATTACACTCATTCAAATTTAAAATTAAATTTTAAATAGGGATTTTTAACTAATTTTTCTATGTAGAATTTGGGGATAGTAAAAGAAGAGAAAAAATACAAGGAAAGAAGAAAATGAACACTGAATTAGTGATGTGTGATTGATGGGATCAATCATATTGGGGGGGGGGGGGAATCCGAACAATATTATGTCATTTTAGAATGACAGCGCAAATTGATATATCCTCGACATTCTCCACATAATCAAATCTTCCGATTGAAGAAAATAAAGGGAATATCGATTATAAAATCACTTAGCTTTTAATCTGAAAAATTCAATGATAAATAAATGAGTTAGTCTCCGAAGTAGTAATTAATAATTTAGCTTGTTTGCATCGCATGTACCTTTAAGTAACGATGATTAATATTGTTTGATAACAAAAAAGTTAAAGGAAAAAACATGCAATATAAAATTGTTAATTATTGTTAGTCAATTTCAAGAAATGAAACTAAAACGTTAGATCAAAGAATTAATTAATTTTTGAATGAGATGATAAGTTTGAGTGGGATTGAGTTGTAAAGAGAGTTGCTTGATCATCTGAAGGAAAAGTGAGGAGGTGATTGGTACCAGAGAGGGACATATACCAAAAACCTTTTTTACCATTGAAAAGCTTTTAGAAAAGCTTTCTAATTATTCTAATTCATCTTACCCAAACCTCAAATCTTCTACTTCTTTCATGAAAAGATTATTGTATACATACTGTCTGTCTGGCTACATTTTGGTCTTCATTTCTGTAGTCTTAAATCCTGGATTTCCATCTCTCATATTTCTTCCATTTAAATTGTTTGTATTTTTAAAATATTTGGATCTAGAGTTAATGGTACGGTGTTAATTTTACTCATATGGTACTGACACCATTAATTTTGTTTATGTGGTTGAGGTGAAAGCTAATTTGATTTTTAAAAAAATCATTTTTCATAAAAGAATTTTATAATACTACTTCGGGTTTTAATTATAAGACCTCATTTCTAGATTGTAAATGAGATCCTATAATTAGGACTGAAGGTAGTAAAAGGAAAACATGAACCCATCAGAGTTAGGGTTAAGGGGAAAGGAAAAACGAGTTAGGGTTATGGATGCTAGTGTAGACAACATTGCTAATGAACGTACAACGAAAGCTAGAGAAGGTCATGTATCTGATAATTACATTAAACCCCAACAAAGTTGACAAAAGCTGCAAAATCACCCAACAAGTTTTTTATGAAACTAACTTTCTACTAGTTGAATTATTATATCTTTTCTCCATATTAGTATCCTTTTATTAGAGACAATTCTGTCTTAGTTTTTGTTAAGTGTTAAATATCGTGATTCCGTATCCCATCATGTGCACACTTGTCTTAATAGGAATTCGAATATTGATTCACCACGTTATAAGGTGCTAACTCTTTTTGCTAAATCCAACTCTCTTGATAGTTGAATTACTATATGTTTATTGGTCCAAAACTTAATATTTTGTCGAAAAAGGTTCTTTGTTTTGAAACCCTAATTATTCCTTCTCTTGTCACAGTCAAGAATATTATTGAAAAATCATACACCCATTGGGATTTCATTCCCTTCAATGGACCCAACTCATTGTCCCAACGTTGAACGACATGCCTATATGAGCTTTAGTCTCTTCAAGAAGAAGAACAGTGAATCACAGAAGGTACACATAATTATTCTTGTCTATGAGCAATAAGACTTTTGAAAATGCTCAGAAAATGATTTATTCAAAAATGATTGATTTGATTTTCAAGGCATCCAACATTAAAATTACTTATGATTATGTTTCAGAGACACTTGTCAGCAGATGCGTGAAACAATGATGTGGTATTTACAGCGCAAGAAGGATATCAATCAATATATAGCAAACATAAAACTTATAAAAAATTGCATCATATGCCCCCAAAAAAAAAAAAAGATTTATGAATAAGACGACTTATCTTAAATTTCATGGAAAATAGATATTGTAATATAGATTTTTTTTTTTCCGTTTCTACTGTAAAAGTGTTTTTACTGGGATAGAATAATCTAGAAATTATGTTAATAGCACGTACTTCTCTTCTTAAAACAACGTAAAAAACTTAAATTAATAAACGCTACTTTGGTCTTATAGTTAGAGGGAGAGTTTTTCTGTCCTTAATATAATATTAAGTTACTTTATTCAATTATTATATAAATATACAATTTGATCTTTAACTTGTTGTTATCACTTTTTTGGACTTTTTATTAAAAGCATATAAATATATATATATATATAAAATTATAGTAAAGTTAGAGAGTTATTAGATTTAAAGATGAAATTAATAGAATTTAAGATTTTTTATTAT